AAAATAACGATTTGGTGTTGGAAAAAAAAAAAAACTCCATTAATATTCGTAACTGAATCTGTAGTTCATAAGATTACCCATTCTACTCTTGTAAAAATCTTTTAAAAGGATTGTAAGGTCATCTGCATACGTCAAAAGGGTAATATTTTATGGAATTATTTCATGGAGTTTTAAAAAGAAGAAGACTCACCTCAGAGCCCTACGGTAGGCCCAAGAAAATTTATTTAGGTCCTATAATAAAATTTTTATCCTCAATAAAAATTTGCCTATTGGTGAGAAGTTATATAATAAGGTTGGGTAATTCCGAAGGTACGTTCATTTTACATAGATATTCATATAAAATGAAAATGTTGACATGGTCGTAAGCAGTTTTTGTGTTCAAAATAACTGCAAGAACTTGTTCTTTGTTACTGAAACTAGTTATTATATCTAGTTCGCATGTCCCTCAAATATACACCTTATGTGGTCTTCCACACGGTAAAATAAAATTTGGAAAGGCTTACTTTGATATCAGAATACAGGCTTTGCTCGCTTGATGAAATTGACAACTTCATTGTAATCGGACGGTCAAAATGCAGATAAAGTTTGCATATACACTGGCAAAAAATTTAATAATTAAATCGGGTTACCGAATGGCAATATACTTTGGATTTTATGTGACCTGCACAATACTCTAAAACGGATTGTGTAGGTGGTCACTCTTTTAATTTCTATGAGGTCCTAACACTGGACAGCAAAATTTACGAGGATATTCGCACAAATTCAAAATCCGCCTTGAGTCAGGGCACAAATAGTTTTCCGGAAAGCATTTACTAAATTTTACAGCGTGGAATGGATGCATGTTTGAATATCATACAGAATAATGAAATACTGAAAACATCATTAATTTCTTTTAAGGTATTGTGATGACATGGGAACAATGGACTCAGACTCTAATAACAGCCGGTGATTCTCGACTGGTACGATTTTGGGATGCTGAACGTGAATTGATAGCCTTTGATTTACATACTGGTGAGTATGTTTGACATTGATCTTCGGTGACAGACAACAATACTGTCGGATAAAAGAACTTAAAGAGCATGGAGAAAATGATTACTCATTAAATAAACGATACGTTTGCAATATTATTTCCAATCTTGTTGAAGCCACTGTTGAAATAACACAAACTCAAACATTCGTCTGTTAATTTCTGCTTTTCATATGCAGGAAGTAATTTGCAACGGATTTTCCAAATGGAATACGTTGCATAGGTGCCTGATGGTTTTACTTCAGCTCTCTGCGCAGCATTAGCTGGGTTAGTTGTTGTCTTTCCGTCGGGTATCTGCCACACTTACCTACAAAATCATAGTTCCACATGAGAGGCAAGGGGTAAGGTGTTTTTCACCTGAACTTTGGACATGTAATGCAACTCTCCAGAATGTCATCATGATTCTGACTCCTTACCCGTAGTGTGTGTTTGTGGAGTTGTTTCTGGAGTAGTCATCCTTCTGAATCAATATATATTATATAGAAATAAAGTTATATTCATGTCTTACAGGAACAGACAGTCCAGTGACTTGCATCGACTCGACGTTTTCTAGTGTGTGCCAAGAAAACTTCAAAAACTATCGACAAATGGATGACGATGATGGATATCTTGTTGATAAACAAAACTATCATAGCACAAAACTTGGATTGTGTGCCGTGGGTTGTGGTGATGGTTCTGTTCGATTATTTGACCGAAGATGTAGTCCTAGTGAAGCGAGAGTTAGAGTTTGGATGGAACATATGGGAAGTGTTTTGACCATTCAACTAAGAGATAATCTGATTGTTAGTGGAAGGTAAATGTAAATACATACACATGGCTATTCAAAGATGAGTTTGCATTGATATCTCGTAAACGGTAAGAGATTAGATTGAATTGTGGCAAAGTTGTCTATTTTTGGGTAAAAAAGAGACCAAAATAGACTAGCACGTTTGGTTTCGGAAATATACGGGAAATATTGAATAGTTACAAATTGTAAAAAAACAAAAGCTTTCACGGCCGAAGTCACTATTCAGAGAACAAAATCCAGGTTAGTAGATCGTGGTCGGTCATTTTTAAGACTTCGACATATAACTTTCGTACTCGCAGTTAACGCTTATACCACTGATGGTGTCTAGCAGTAGCAGATAAAACGTTTATTACCATTCCATTTGACCATAGCTCACTAGCTTGGATTTTGTTCTCTTCTATAATTTCATCATTCAATATTTGGCCATAAATTTCGGAATGTCTTGTATGTCAGTTCACCGCATTGCAAGCACATATGCCTGGTAAGTGAAAAAACGGTTACATTCATTTTCCTTTTCACGGTATATTTCTTTTCACCCACAACTCACACCTCAACGGATTTGTGGAACTCGCACAAATATATATTATTTCTTCGATGAAAGGGAGCTCTTTTGTAGTAATTGATTTTTGAATTGTACTGCGTAAATATCAGATCAAATCAAATCAAAATGTGCTTTATTACCCAAGAATTGAACATCTTATTAACAAAGTCTAGTAAAGTAAAACGTGTATATGGGATATTCAATTAACAAATACAAGCTGTAAAATAATGCTTAGAGACGAGAGCAGCGTATATGGACAGTACACCTGGTATACAAATGGATCGAAGGACTATACACATCCGTCTTTCAGGCGGAAGTGTATGCTATCTTGCAGTGTGCAAGGCTTATTGAATTGAGACCTCAAAGAAATGAGCGGATCATGAGGAAGGATATTACTCTTTATTTTACCAGTTTTTCTATAACTTTAGACAAGGCAAGTAGCAAAGCAATTGGACTAAAATTAGCTGGATTGTCAAGATCACCTCCTTCATGTAAAGGAATGATTGTGGCAATTTTCAGATACTATGGGAACATACCTTTGGAGAATGAGAAATTCATCTGAGTTCAGATTTGGCTATATAACTTAAAAAAAGGTCTATCTATGTATCAAACGAGATACATGTTGTTTACAAATATACTGACACAATTGAAAAGAATATAAACTTTCACGGCCGGAGATGTATGAATCGAAGCTATTTTTGGGGTTTTTTGTCCGTGGTTTGCAAATTTTCATACCTGACATTTCGTCTGCTACTGCGGTATACATTACGTCAGGCGTAACAGTTATTCCGCTGTCAAACCTTTTTTTTTACTAATGCGGTAGTAGACATTACTTGCGCTAGACATTACAGGAGTAGTCTATTACTGCGGTGAATAAGTGGGAAAACGGAAAATAGTTTTGTCAGCGGAATAAATTTCGAGGAATGCGTATTAGAAAAAAAAAAGTTTCGGAAAATTTCAAGAATTTTTCCCTGGCTATTTGAGGGTGTTATCAAATTTGATCTTGACTATTATTGTCATATCCAGCTCAAAATCATTTTTTAAACAGAGTCTCGCGGATTGGAAAAGAGTGGAAAAATGAAAGGTCAAAAATGTAAACCTAGTACGTTTTTTTTATAATAATAGTCTTTATTAATCCCAAGAAACAAGAATGTTTATAACAAATTGAAAATGTTATTCCTTAGATTTCAAAATGTAGATCCATTTCTAAAACCTTTTTACAATTTCAGCGGTTCCATGAATCAGTTCATCAATATCTACTCATTAAAGGGCAATTTGATCAACACAATACGCATCTATGAAGGATTCATGGGCCACAGGATAGGTCCGGTAACCTGTTTGAATTATCATCCATACAAAATTGCTTTAGCGGCAGGAACTTCTGATTGTTGTATCAATGTTTATACTCTCGAAGGAAAGAGGTGACGGGATTCACAGCCCTAGACCTTATTTTGGGGCCTTTGGGGTTCCTAACAACACCGCCGACCTTAGACAAGTGTTTGTAAATTCTTCCTCAATAGTTTGAATAATTATCTCATCAATATTTCTTACTGCGAAAAAGAGTTTTATGTTGTTGATGATACTGTTCTTGACATATTTTAGGTTTTATGAACTGGTTAACTGGAAAGGGAAATTAATTAGAAGGTTCAGAAAGTGTTATTTAGATGTCTAGTACAGTTGAGAAATAATTATTTTCACAGTTTTAGTGTGTAACAATTTGTTCATGTCAGATAACCAGAAATGCAATAATCTTCTCAACAGGTGTTTCAACAACCAAGTTGGCATCTTCAGTTTTCTTCATCTCCTGAAGAGGCCAACTTGGTTGGTGAAATGCATGTTGAGAAAAGTTTGCATTCCTGGTGACTAGGAGAAGTGATTATTTTACACCAGAGCTTCCAGTTTCAACTTTCATCAGATAATGCTAACTTAAAAGCTAGTTTGAGAGCACTTGCCAATCGCCTCTTGGAAAAAGATATTACTTGTGAATTGGATTTTATTTTATATTTTCTAACATTTACATCACAGGCTATTTTTTGTCAATTAGTAATGGATTTAGTGAGCCCAATTACTACAAATAACATTTGATTGAGAATGGCAAAATTATTTTAATTTCATATCCCTCTGAAAATGTTTTTTTTGTCAATTAGTAATGGATTTAGTGAGCCCAATTTCTACAAATAACATTTGATTGAGAATGGCAAAATTATTTGAATTTCATATACCTCTGAAAATGTTGAAAATTGAGAACGGCTGAAAATATTTTGAAAAAGTTATTCAATTCATGATTTATCAAAACATTACCGTTTGTAGGACTGGTAATCATATTTCCCAAGGAGTATTACATTTATAATATAACTGTCCCATTACTTATGCTATTATTAACCTGTAATAGGAGAGCCTTCATCTTTTAGAAAAAAAATCAAAAAATCAACTAGTTTGGAAGAATGTCAATAGTCCCCATTCATATGAGTTCACCAAGGAATGTAATATATTGATTTAAAACACTCTTCTGTTTTCAAATGCTGTAGATTGCAGGGAGGTAAAAGAGGTTTTTTTGAATAATTTATTTTTCTATGATAAATACATGTAACTGATTTGAGTTTTTCATGTCGTTTTGTTTGCATCTTTACCTTCAATGTCGTCTATCTTGCTCACTTGAGAGGACAAGTGAAATTTCTCTTTATGAGTATTCAAACCAAATTTGAGGATATATTGCCCATAAGAATTTCAGTTCAGAAAATAAGGCATTGGTGTTTCCTCTCATGATAATTTATTCATTTGTGTCACATTTGCTAAATTTATGTAAATATTAGCCTCACCTCATCCTTATATACACAGCAATGTATCAAACATTCAACATCAGTAAGAAGCTTGCTGGTTATTTGATGGTAATAATCAATAACTAAGTATATAAAAAAATGCAGAGTTCTTAAATTCAACATAGAATTTCTGGTGGATTGCTTCAACCAATATAAACTCATTAATGTTTCCAATGGGTCAATATATGAATCCATCGGATCATTTGGTGGACTCATCAGTTGATCGTTCAGACTAGGACCACCTGGCAAGAGAGATGCATCAGTTTCAATACTACTATAATGGTAAATTCACTATTGTCATTGCATGGTTATAATTGTCTTGGAAAGTATGTTTTGATAAACTATTTTATTGAACAAAAAAAAGTTTTGCTATCTGAAAATTCACTCTTGAAAAATCTTACCTTATGGAAGCCATGAAAAATCAAATGGCGAATGTCAAATTATGCGTACGAAATGCTCTCCCAACTCTTTCCCATTGTAAAATTGGAAAGTCAATATAATTGTTCATTTTGAGCATTCTATTCAGAAAAACTGGGTGCCTCAAGCATTCAATATGATTTTTCTCTCAATATCATAACGTTGTTATGTTGGATATACAAAATTACCAAAAATGACATTCTCTTCTTAACGTGAACAGCCTATATCTGCCAGAAGCAGATTTGGATCAACAAGCCATGTCTAACATATCCGCCATGCATTTATATGTAAGCATTGTGCTTACTAATTACTGTACTATATGTATGGATAACATCGCTTTCAAAGTGTTATAAATGAGAAAAAAAAATTAGAAGAATTTTTTTATTGATACAAAATCATGTATCACACGTCATTATTTAAAAACAATTTTATTGCCAATCACTGGAACTTCCCCAGTTGGTAGCAACAGCAGGTTGTTGAGCAGTATTTGTAGCTGTCCACTGTTCTTGGACTTCTGCTGCCCAGTCGTCCGTACCGCTAGCTGTATATGTAGGGGTTGCGCCAGGTACTACAGGAGCAACTGCTGGTACCTCAGCTGCCCAGTCAGCAGTTTCATTGGTATTCCAGTCAATATCTGGTGGATCCAGAGGAGCAGCAATTTCAGTGGGTTTAACAACTGCTGCAACAGCCTCTTTGGCAGCTTGTTCTTCCTTTTCTGCCTCTTCAGGTTCTCTGTAGAAGAATAGATCGACTACAACCTCCCACTTGGTATCGCGTTGAATAGTTCCTCGAAGACGCAGGACCTATAATAATATCGAATTTTTTAAAATTTGTTCATCGACATAAAAAGTAAAATGATTTTAAAATTCAAGTCAGGTGGAAAAATTATATAACATCACGAAAAAGTCATGAATATGGGAACAGTTACTCATCATGTTGTATTATTGAACTCAATGTTGTGTGAAAACAAATTAAAAAAAAAATACTTGCCTCACGAGCTAATAGCCACCAGAGAAGACCAATACTGTGTGGAGACTTGTTATTGCCAGGAATAGCAATGTCGACAAATCTCAAAGGAGAATCAGTATTGCACAAAGCAATGACTGGAATGTTGACATAAGAAGCTTCAGTAATCGGCTGATGATCAAAGGCTGGATCAGTAACAATCAATAAACGAGGTTCTCTGAATGCAGCTTGAATCTGATTTGTGAACGCACCTAAAAGAATGATAATATGAGTTTCACTATAAGCTTCTAGTTACCAATTGAACTGCTCACTCAATGAATCAGTAAACTACTATAATCACAAATCATAGGTTCCTTAGTAATTTCATCATAAAAAAATAGCAAATATAAGTGACACTGATATATTCATAAGAAAAATGGAAGGTATTTTCAAGTTTGTATCTGAAGGTAACTCCTACTGAATATTCACTATGTGAAAAAAATTCTTACCAGGAGTGAATCTTCCTGCTATGGGGGTAGCTCCAGTATGTGCAGCAAATTTGAGAACAGCACGTTGTCCATAAGGACGAGATGAAATGACGAACACTTCATCAGGGTGTTCTATAGCTACAATAGCTCGTGCCGCCAACAAGAGTTTTTCCCACGTTTTACGAAGATTAATAATGTGAATACCATCAGAGCGACGTTTATGGACATACTGTTCCATTTGGAAATCCACATTTGCAGTTCCAAGATGTGTTCCAGCCGCCAACATCTTGGTAACATCATCCTCTTTGAGAGCAAGAACATCTACACCTCCCGACATCTTTACGTTTTGTTTGAGTTACGAAAAACCTAGAACAAAGATATACCTATACTTATTGAAAGATATCTGAAAACAGTGATTATTAGCAAGTATTAAATTTTTTATAAAGAATATAAGTACACATGGATTGAACTGGGAAGTCTTTATTGCTACAAGCCATCAAAATCAGACGAATAAACTGTCCACAAATAGTTCTGTAAAAAAAGTAATCACCTGCAAATTAAGGTGACACATGTTACAAACATACACAACAGAAACAATCTATGATGTGCATCTTCAACGTTAATTATTTCGATTTAAGCTACATTGAATGATCAACAGACCTATTACAATTTCAATTACATACATTTTTTTAAAGCTTAACTTTGAACAATTGATAATGAAACATGAATCTATAAAAATCGCAACATGATATTAGGTACATGGCGAGATGCGGAAAAATAAGAATGAGTATCGGTTGCCAAAAAAAATATTGAGAAAAATGAAAAACATCTTGTTGTTTAAAAGGTTCTAAAAAAATAATAAGAAAATAAAAAGAGATTACAACAATATTTGAAGATAACATTTAAAAAACTTACGTATGAAAATGCCACTGGGAGCAAAGACGGCCGATGACTAAAAGAACGATGAAGGAGAATGACAAAATATTCTAATGACAAACCAGCAGGGTTGTTGCAATGTTGCCAAGCCGTATATTATCCATGGACATATAAATACTAGTATTTCTTTGTCCATGATATTATCTAGTACAATCTGTAGACATATAGCCGCTTACGGTGTCTGTCCATAGCCAATGCGCTCATAAAAAGAGTGAAAACTAATGAATTTCAACTTTCAAACAACAAAATGTTTCATTCGTTTGTTATTGTGACTGAATAATGAATGATTTGCAAAAGTTTGGTATACACTTGAATAGAAAGAGTCTACGAATCACGTTCTCTTTGGATTTCAAATGCTAGGAAATCATTTAATAATCAATAAAACCAACAATAAATGACAAAAGGTACATTTTGCTGCTTGACAGTTCAAATCACTGATTTTTATCATTCTCGTTTGAAGATTCCAGTTCAATGTTGCCAACATAGTCTTTCTCTGACATTTTCTGTGTTACGAACCCTAGATAAACCAAACGTCAAAATATTAACAAATGTTTTGTTGTAACTGGAGAGTAAAAAAAGTATGTTAGATATACTTTACATACCTAGGTATGTTTTCACATCACAATGAAAAACGTCAATGGGGCACTAAACAGTTCCGGTCACAATTATGTCATTTAAGTAATGAAAATATAAACTAGATAGATTAAAAAAGATTCAGATTTATTTGGATAAATACCGAGAAAAGTTTTATTTCCATGTCATAATTGTAATGTGAACTACTGGTGTTCATTCCTAAACTTTTTTTTACATAATAGTGTTGGAAATAACAGAAACATTGAGTAATACAATATTTAAATTTAATACTCAACATAGTTTTGCTATTTTATACTGAATTTTAACTAACCTAACTATCTCGTAGAATTTTGTGGACATACTAACATTACAGTAAATAAATAAAAGGTACACCATTTAATTTTATTTAAAAATCTTCTGAAATCTAAATATCGAGGGGGGGTAATTTCTGATTCTCTGGAGCGAGCTATTTTCAAGGGCAATAATTCATATATGAAAAAACGTGCGTGTATATATCACAAAGCTATTTCCAAACACCAAAACTGCCACGCTCTTCTCGATGTGTGTTTCACCAATCAAGTAGGTGTTCTCAGGAGATGAAATTCATAAATTCCTAGCTCTAAAACTGGTCTCATTTCATATCTATTGGGGTTACAGTTTAACTTTCAGATATACGCATCAATGATTTCGGGTAGACCTGAAGGGAGGTTATAAAAGGATAAAGACTTTTAATTATTTTAATCAGATTACTATGAGAGAATTGAAAAAACAATTGAGAATGGTCCCTGTCGTAAATTACCAATGAACCAACGGCCTGAGATGGTTTCAGAAGTGAAAAACACTCTTACGAAGTGTTAAAAATTTGATTGAACCGACTTTAAAAAGGCGTCTATACATGTTTCTAACCCTATGGTTCCTAAATACGGTATACCAAAAATTCACATCACCATTAATTAAATTTGAATAAGCTTGCCAAATATACCATTAGAAAGATATGTAAGAAAATGTATTTTTTCTCTAGAATTTCAAAATCTTCAATAACCTTCGCTAGACTAACACGTTACAACTGCATAATAAGGCCACACTTTGACTACTGTGCCACACTGATGTATCTATTCAACCAAAATCAAATGGGACAGTTGAATTTATTGAATCTATGTTGAATACTCTACAGTGGCAGCCGGTACATAAACAACTGTATTATTTAAGCATAATTTTTATTTTCAAAATTTCGAGCGGAATACAACCAGCCTATTTTAACAGATATTCAGTTCGAATTAGTGACATTCATTCATATAACACAAGAACATGTAATACATTTTATAGATCCCGAACAAACTATAAGAGTGGAATGAATTCATTGTTCTTTATAACGGTCTAGATAGTTTCAATAAGTTACCTGATGAAATAAAACATGTAAATTCCTTAAAAGTATTCAAAAAGTTATTATTAGGATATATCAAATTGTAATACATGACACACTGTAAAATTATATACGTATATAAATTATTCATATATGCATAACTATATATTGTATATTAGGATTCCTAAAACAAAGTCTTCTACTACATATCTAGCAACGCGGTGCGACCAGTACTTTTGGATAATCGTAAAAGTAGATACTCATCTACTTATCTGAATATCTACCTTCCTCTGTTTGAAAGTTTCCCACATGTTTTATACTGTGATTATAATTTTTATTGAAACATGACTAGGTACTTCTATCCGTGGTACTTATATAGTGCGATTAATGGTCTTAAACATGCTAATGGTGCCATCCGGCCTAGTTCTAAGAAGCAATAAGTTTAACTCGAGTAAGCATAGTTGAACATTTTCAGATTTGAAGAAATCACATTTTTAATCAAATCACTTAAATAATACTGAAAATACCACCTGGCAACATTGGTAGCCAACTTCACATTATTAACGTTAGTGTAATCAAAAATGTCAATTATTCAATTGTCAATATTGTCAACGTCAACATATTTTCTTGTACCATTTCCACGGGATTCTAAATAAAATATTCCATATTTTATATATTTTTTCTTTTATCAATGGGTGAAGAAATAATACAGAGTCCCCCGGGAATGCCTGAAACGGAGCCGCTTCAACAGTTCACAGTTGAAAGTAAGATACAAATTAATATACTCCAATATGGTCAATAATAATCGTTTTTTCTAAGTTTTAAAATTGATAAAGGATGTCCAGCAACAACACGGTCTTAGACATAGTGATTACCAGAGATACAGAGGATATTGTTCAAGAAGAATTAGCAGATTGCGAAAAGTTTTGAAAGTACCCCAAGGTGACAGAAGACATTTTAAAAAACGAGATGTAACTAGTGCTCATATTATGAATCCTCGATGTGATGAAAGATTTCTACATATTCCCTTGATGTTAGCTGAGAGATGCTGGGCTCACGCAATGCAGTTGCGTCAGGAAGCTAATACAGAACCAAGGAAAAAGTTTCATTTGATTCAAAAATTACGGAAATCATGTATATATGCTCTACAGCTAGATGAACTGTGCAAGGTAATTTGTTTGAAGTTTAGATTGTTCATTAATGACATCTATAAATATTCTAAAATCATGGCCATTGTCAATCCGCTATCGTCCTAAGAGAAACTGATTCTGATCTATGGGAGATGTACTTTGTAACATGATATGATGAGCAGATCATAGATAAGGTCCTAAAAGCCAAACCGAAGGACCAGTTGTCCCATCGACAATATCATAATAAAAGAACATAGGTTATTCACCTTTCCCTGTTGTTGGCTTTGATATAAACTGTCTATCTATAAGTCTTCAAATAGAGTTCTCATTTTCTTAGTAGGGTAAATCTACAACATCGTCAATTGAAGCCACTTTTTTATCTTTATCACTCTATTTCTATGACTTTTAGCTATTGCATTTGGTAATGTTTCTCACCAGATAAAAAAAAGAAAAGAATTTAATTCAACTTATGGTTTACTCAATGATTACTAAAGAATTTAATATACTGTGAGACCAGTAAAGTCTGCATCACATAGGGTTTTTTTATTTAAAATTATGATTCAAAATTTGATTTCAGCAACAATTTCTTCTTCGATCGAGTATGAAGGGAAAATAATAATAAATAGCCACCTGATTCACATTATCTGTAAAATATTCTAAGTAAACTCCAAAAATGGAGATCTTTCTCAAAGTACTGAAACAATTTATGATAAAAATTATTTCTAAATACAATTTTCCACCTATAGGCAAAATTTCGGCTGCAGAAAATAATTTGAATATTTTGCCAATATTTTGTAAATTGCACTACTGTTACGGAATAAGACTTGTCACACCCTACATTAAATTTCTTTGTTTAAAGTAGCGCCATATTGAATGTGTGTTTTTGTACAAATTCCAAATAGAACTATCGAAATTGGGTCAGATGTGATGCAAAGTTTATTCTTTTCAGATCATGTAACTTCATCAAATGCCTATTTTTGAAATTATGATAGCTCCCATAATTGGAATTTTATTCAAAATAAGAAATGTTATACCATTAAAATACCTTAAATTGATTTATTTTTCATTAGTATACTAAAATTCAATATCTAATATGAATATGGTGAATGGCAACAAATTCCTTATGGAAACCAATAATAAAACTACAAGGAACCTACAATTTACTTATGTAACCCAAAAAACCTATTAGAATTGTTATCCTCACATAAATTCAAATTGTGTACCTTCATTAATTTTGTCAAAAATAAGCTCAAACATTCATCAAATATGATTTTCAAAACTAATGGTGTGGTTGGATGTGTGCTTGTCTCTGTATGTGAGTGGTTGTCTGTGTGAGTATGTGGGTGGGTGCCTGTGTGTGTATGTGGGTGGGTGCCTGTTTGTGTATGTGGGTAGGTGCCTGTGTATGTATGTGGGTAGGTGTATGTGGGTGGGTGGGGTGTCTGCGTGTGGATGCCTATGTGAGTGGGTGTCTGTGAGTGAATGTGGGTGGGTGTTTTCATGTGCGTGTGCTTGGGTATCTGTGTGGGTATATGTGTGTGTTGATATATGTGCTTGTGTGTAGGGGTGGATATCTGTGTGTATGGGGGTATCTATGTGTGGGATGGGTATCTGTGTGGGTGGGTTGTTTGAATATCTGTGTGTGTGTGTGTGGGGGGTGAATATCTGTGTGGGTTGGTATCTCTGTGTGTGTGTGTGTGTCTGACGGTATCTATGTATGTGTGTGTGATTTGTTTTTCTAAATGTTCACATAATTGATTTAATTACTTCAAATCAGTATTATATTTTTCTATTACAAAAAGATATATTGCATAAAGCAGTCAGTATTACACCCTTTTGTTGAAACCTGTTTTGTTTTTCAGCAAGACCGCTGTGATGCACGAACCAAACTTGAAGCTCAAGCATATGTGTCTTGGATACAAGGTACTTTACAATTTGAACTCCAGCTATGGCATCAAGCAGCTGAAAATTTCAAAAAGGCCCAAGTGATCTATGAAAAACTCTCTTCAACTTTATCAGAAGAAGAACAATTACCTTATAAGCAAAGAGTAGAAGAAATTGCTCCAAGTCTCCGTTACTGTGCTTACAATATTGGAGATGAGAAAGCCGTTGATTTCCTAGAATTAAGAAGTCAAGGAGTGTTGGATAATTTTGAAGCACTTGTGTCACAAACTAAAGAAAAGACTACTGATGTCTTGTATGAAGTCAAATGGTTTAAATTAGATATACCAGTAAGAATAGAGAGAATTAGGTTATTTCTGGTGAGCATTGAAGGATTAGATGATTCCTTAATGCATGCTGAAGACAATCAAAGCAAAATAAAAATTCTTGAAAATTTATTCATTGATTTGCGAGATGTTATCTCTTTGGCAAGAGATAGTGCACGTACTGAAAAGTCTTATTCAACGCTTTCCAAGCAGATGAAGGAACACCAACTACTATTGGCATATTTAATATCCATTCGCGTTGAGCGAACCTCGCAGCGTAACTTACTTTTGATATCGCAAACAAGAAAGTCACAAGACTGTGTTCGTTTGCTTGATATTAATATTCAGCAAACAAATGAGATCTCTCAAAATGACATGATCAAGGATAATAAGGAAGCACAAATTTACTACGAGTCACAGATACTGGCTTATAAAACTCTTCGGTCATATTATTTGGCTAAAACACAAGTTTCTCAAAAGCATTGGCAAGAAGCTGCAGTTTTATTTGATACTACCATTAAAAGTGTTAAAAACCTAAAGAAAGGTAAGTTCGAAATTAAAAATATGCATGTACAAATGTTTGCAGTTAGTTGAGTGTAAATTGACTGCAATACAGTTGTTTCTGTGGAGTTACTTTGATTTATTTTTTTTGTAAACCTGCTAGAAACCGTGAATGCCAGGTTTTAACTATTAACTGTTTTGTAATACTTATTCCATTAGTTCGTAATCACTGTTATGATTGTATATCAATGTAGTTTGTTCAAATAATGTAATTACTATTATTATTACATATTTTTTCTGTCCTCAGATGATTTCATTTTGGAATTGAAAGATCTACTCAAGTCTGTAGAAGACAAGGCAGAAACTGACCTTATAACAGCTCAAGCAAACTTCATTTTGGATAAACCAGAGGATCAAGTTCTATTTCCACAAAAAGTGTATAAAAGTAAAAAACCTCTCATTGACAGACTTGATGAATTCAGAGAGGAACCACAATTATTGTCGAAAAATCCTAATCTTGTTGCCTTACCTCCGCCAATGGAACCTGTTCCAGCCAAACCATTGTTCTTTGATTTAGCTCTCAATTTTGTCGAATTTCCAGATTTATCAGAAAAATTGGAAGGTAATCAACCAAAACAAAAACAAGGAGCTGGTATTTCTGGATTTGTTAAGGGGTTATGGGGTTGGGGAAAGAAGTAAGGAGAATGCTGCCTCTAATATATTTTGCTTCAATTTGGGTTAATGGTATTTTTTTTAAACATATATATATGTTCAGTTTTTAATAAATATGATGTGCGGAGAATCATATATTTCATTCATTCAGAGACCCAATCGGGTATGTTGTCAATAACGATGAACAATAAAGAAGTTCTTATCCTAAAAAAGCAACCTATAATTTTACAATCAATATGCACAATTACAAATATATAAAAACATACACTAATTCACTATTGTTTCATATTAAAATACTCAGTGAGGTCATAAAACAAATTAATTTGTAAATATTTTTTCATGGTGCTTCGAAATCTGGATAGTGTGGCCTCATCTCTAATATTTACTGGCAACTTATTGTAAGCCTTTATACCCATGGAAATTGGTCCCTTTGACACCAGATCAAGATTGTCAAGTCTGGGATAGATATTGCTGCTAGCTCTGGTTTGATATGGGTGTACATCATTATATCTCGGAAGTGTATTTCTGGTTCTGTAGATATAACATACCACCTCCAGTAGATACAAGTTGACTAATGGCAGGATATTCAACTCTGCAAATAGAGGTCTTCAGGAGAGTCTGACGTTTTCATTATAGCTCGTATTGCTAGTTCTTCTGATAAAAAAGACCTATGCTGCTGGCATTGCTCCCCATAGCATTATGCCATACATCAAATTTGACTGAATTTCTGCAAAATAAAAATATCTCGGGCAGTTCCTATCGAATACACCGAATTTGGTTTGTTTTAGAATTTTTTTTTTGTCATATATATATGGTCATGCCAGCTGAGTGTTTCTTCTAAACTCAATCCTAGAAATTTCACTGAAATTTGAATTAAAGGGGTTATATTTTTATGAGTGAAAAGTTACTTCTTTGCATGATCTTCACATCCATGTAAAGAGTTACTTATTTTCAAATTGATTACTTCCTTTCTTTGGAAGATTCCATCATCCCTTTTTTGTATCAAGATGGAGTAGTAGAAAGCCAAAAACTTTCCCAAAAATTCACTGAAATGTTTCGGTTTATGTGTACATCGTCAAGTTTCAAAGATATTTGATAGTTTGTAGTCCTTTGTCTAGTATGAAAGATTATGTATTCTGTTTTTTCGGTATTGAGATACAGTTGAATGGCAGATAACCATTTCTCAAGTTTCCCTAGTAACACATTGCAATCGTCCTCGTTAGTCATCTGAATCATCTGCATACAACGTTATATCTCCGTCTCACTCTTCCGCATTCTCCAAGCATGTCTTCTAAAACGAAACCTGACAGTGTTGGCACTTATATATTATACATCAAACCAGATCACAAATAATATTTCAACAATTAATGGGGAACTTCATAACACGTATAAAAAGGGCAACTTCTTCTTATTTCTTCAATTTCTCATCGTATTCTATCATTTTTCCTTTAAAAAAAAAGAGCTGAGAAATTATACATATACTTATTTTGATATTTCAGAGAAATTGGAAAAAATGTAAGCTTTTTTTTCTAATTGATTTGGCCGTTACTTGATGAATATCCATAGTAATATTAAAAACTACACCTCCCGATTTGAACTCCACAAAAGCTACTGTGCTAGCGAAACATGTGATTTATTTTTCAAATAAAGTTTGTGGAGATCAAATCGTGAGGAGTAGTTTTTGAAAAAATCTAAGCATTCTCAGAAGTTCAAGGATAGCAAACAGCAGGTACCGACAAACTGACTAATCCAGGTATAGGTATTAGCACTCCAAACTACTAGACACTGCATAAATACGTGTTACGAAACCGTAAGATTCAGTCATCGGATATTAACCCAAGATGAATAGAATAGAATAAGTTTATTTCATCACATTAACTACAAAATATACAAAAGTGACAACTCAATTTTTTTTCTGAAGACGCTTTAAAACTGTATTCATGTATGTCAATTAGGTTTGTATTAATGTTTGAAAGCAATTGGACCTGACCTGTTACCTCTGGTAGGTTTTGACTAATATTCGAAGTAATTCTTTTTCCTCCTTGAATAATAATTTCCAAAAATCTGATTCCAAGTCTAATAAACTGCTTGTATCCAAGGATTGGCATGTTGTCACAAGAGATTGTAATAGCAGAAACATTTCTTCTGTCATTCTGCAGGCTGCAATGAAATAAATGCGATAGAAGGTAAAATAAAAATGGAACTTGTTAAGTATAACTGGAACCTCAGGCACGAAATGAATCAAACACATTATCTCAACGCACGTTTTGAGAACTGAGTCAGGGAAATATTCTTAATTTTTTACTCATGCATTTGTGTTGTTTCTGCAACCAATTGGTGCCTAACCTTGCACTCACACATAAAGAGAGAGATATATACATTACCTCTCAAACTTGAATCATTTTTATCACCCCAAGTATATTTTTCTAAAATTTTTGCTAAACATGGTGACAGCTTTTGGGGACTAGGTCGCAGAATCAACAAAAGAAGAACACTGTTGAGTTCACATTTCAATAGGATTTCAGATCTATTGCCATTAGGAGTTGAATTATCAGCTAGTTTTGAAATTTCCAAAAATACCTCAAGTGAGGCCAAAAAGTCACCTGAAACCAAAAAATAACATCAATGAAATAGAAAAAGAAGTTATAATCTGCAGGCACACAGAAAAAGGCTACCTGCACTCAACTGCTCTTTCGGCTCTAGTCCTCTGGAATGATTTATTTTTAAATATGAGAAGTATCAATTATTTTATTATTGCTTAGCATCAATTTACAATGTTTATTTTTCTAAATGAATTGCAAAGGTACTTACCACAATTTATAAAATGTGATGCTAAAAGTTGTAAGCAATGAATTATGGTGTTACATCTTGCTTTGGACAATTCTACAGAATTTTCTATGTAGAGATGTGTATATTCAGTTTTTCCAATTCGCTTCAGGAATTCAACTATTTCTAAATTTAGGCTGATGGGAATACTACAACTTTCTGAGTATCTACTTTCTGCGTGTGCATAACAACTCAAACCAGCCTGAGAAAGATTAGATAAAACGTATTAATACATTCACATCAATATTATATTTCAAATGTTAGGCAATTACAAAACAATTTTCTCTTTTGACTAATTTCTATGTTGACAACTTGTATAACTCAGAATGCAGTGATTCCCTTCTTCCAGTTCCAATGTACACAATGAGAGTACCAGCCAGACTGGTGCTTCCATTTTGATGACTAAGAACTTTGCTTAGAAAGTTGACCAACATTCAACTAAGAGCTCAAATTAAAACGAATACGAGATTGCCCAAAATTGAGATATTTACAGTTGCCATTGACCAGACAAATTTCAAAGGGGTTATTTCAAATTTGTACCTGTTATAATAATGGAAAAAATGAATTATATTGAACATTTTTTTCTGTTCATCTCAAATTATTTTCAGTAGTATAGTAAAATATCAAAAGTGGATTAATTGTGGTTACTTGAACATGTTTATAAATCTGACACTTTTCCTAAGTATAGTCTTAGTTACTAGTTATTGTTAAATGCTTACGTATTGTTGCATAAACCAGCTATAACTTCACAACTACTTATTTTAGATTCAAAGACAATGGAATCAGATATTACTTACTTGCAAATACTCTCCAGAAAGATTTTTGCAACCTAAATCTCTATCACTTTTTTCTGCTTCAAATAGTACTCTAGCAGACTGGACTAAACAAGATGTTTCACCTGTATTATTAAGTAGAGAGCCTTCACATCTTGCTGCTGCTATATAACACAAACTCGAATATGCTGGCAATTCCAATGTTTCACATTTTTTGGCTAAACTTATAAAGGAATCACAAGCTTCTGTTATATTTGGTTTCCTTAAAAATCTCCTGAAAAAAATCATGTGAAATATTTCCTGTCTAAATTTTCCTTACTTACTTCTTTAATTTACTCGATATATTAATGTAGTGTTCCAAAATATCATTAGAATTATGGTTCATTTCTAAATACTTTCACAACTTGTTTTATGAATCTGGAAAAAATCAATGAGTAGAGAGCACTTTGTTTACTAATTCTGTAGCACAGTATTCCCATAACCACCGTATAGAAGTGTGTTTACTTCTATACGGTGACGAAAGCGAAAAAACAATGTGATCCAGTTAGCTCCCAGAAATCTGTCCCAGATTGTTAGGATCAGATTTTCTAGTTGTCAGTTGTCATATTTTAAAAAATTCGTTAAGTTTCAGGAAATTATTAACTTTCGGTGTAATTTTTGACTTTTGTTGACATTATAATGGCTTCTTTGACGAAAGCCATTCTTAAATAATTTTAAAAACATGCTTGTGTATCAAAAATAAACTTCTGAAATACAGTTATGTTGTGGAAAAAAACTTCATCAATCATATGTTAGACGTTTTGTGTTGACAAATAATACCATAAATGTCAACTTGTCATTCAGCTATAATCAAACACTGTTTAAATTTATTTCGCTCCGTTGGTACAATGATCACGTAGAAGGAAATCTGCATCTGCTCGCTTGGCTCCAGATTTTTAATACCGAACATACCTTATATACGAACTCGTCACATTATACCTTACATCTGGTGGCACTTTGCTGTTGCCTCAACGGCATAGAATAGTGTGGTTGAGGGGTCAAGTTTCAGTGACTTATACTCTGTGTTTGAAGTGTTTGTTATTTTTAGCGGTAAATTCATATCATTCAGACACATGATTTGATTGCAGTGGTATCAAATCTGCATCAATTCGCTTGGCTCCAAATTTTTAAAACCGAACAGACAGTAATGACAAACTGTCAGCTAAGGAATAATAAGGAACTTTCGTTTTGGATATGCATATCTGGAACAGCACCGAGTACGATGCACCCGAACTGCTTCCTCATAAAAAGCGTTTAAGGAGGCAATATACTTGAAAATATCAATATGAGTCAATATGAATATTATTAAAGTTTTTCCCAACACCAAATGGTTATTTTTAACACCTCGACACGTGTTTCGATCACCAAGTGATCTTCAAAGAGGAAGATTAAAACTGTATGCTAGATGGGTATTATTGGTATTAACAGTTCGATTGTGACGTGTGGCGCGTTAAATGAAAGGTGCAGGGTGTTAAAAAACGCTTGCCCGACTAGGGGGAATTCTGTTATTTAAATTAAAAGCATATAGGGATATGCCACCTGTCATGTGTCAGTTGTCAAATCAGTTAGTGCCAACATTGAAAGTTGCAAAATATGTTGAGAACATTTTAAATTTAACTCTTCATTTATTTTCTCGTTTCATGCAAAAACAAGTTCTGGTAATCAAAAGAAATCATATTGTGAAACAAATGATATATTCGGATTCCTTATACAAAGTTTCGAATCGTCAAAATAAGGCATTTCGGTCGTCCGATTTCATTGGAATCGTCTGTATCGAGGAAAGATACATAGGCACATATCTATAAGAAAATAAATATTTAGAAAAATTAATTTCTACCAACGTACCTAGACTTACCAATTTTAATTCATCTTCACTTAACTATTGTTCAGTAAAACAGAGTATTTTTATTTTTGAGTACAACAGTGGTTGATGTTTCAATACCGAAAAATTATTTGAATTGCAGAAGCTATACGATTTGGCTAAAATGTCTGTTCATATACATATAGTCTCTATGAAAAGGGGTTCTTGAACACCACTTAAGAAATAGTTATTACCTCTTATCGTAGAAAAGGTTTTAAATACACAGATCTGTGAAACACAAGTTTCCAGAAGGATAAAAAAAGGGGTTTTTCAAAAAATACTGACATCTCTTGATTTCAGTCTGTAATTCACTCAGCTAATGATACTCCTTTTTTGGGAGTAAATATCTAGAATTCAAATATAGATAGCCTAGAGTACTACCAGCAAACATTTTTTTTTTAATTTTCATTCAGTTCAACTTGGAATCCAGATATAGATAGTTAATACATGACCAAGACAACCATCAGTAAATATTTTTTCAATTATTTTCATTTAGTCCTTTGGCAATATCAATGTGTACCCTAAGTAACCGATGTTTGAGATATAATGATCTATATATATTTAGATAGAAAAATGATTTTTTCTTAAAATTTACCACGTGGTACCGGAAAATTTTCTTAGTCCATTAAGTACTAGATTAGTTAGTATGATGATACTAACTAGGTTCAAATATTGAATAATTTAAAGTTTGATGGCTAATAAAGACTTGAATATTTTTTGATGGCTATCTGGACATATGGGGTTAAACTCCACAACAACTGGCCGAAATAAAGCCTTTTTACTGACTGAAGACCCGAGAGAATTTCAACCCAAAACGGCGGATATTTTTATTTTTCATCTATCAGAGCTAGTGCCACAATCCATTGCGAATCGTGGTTCTCTAGTTTGTGCCTGAATACCCAAAAAACTAGAGTGTATCTAGCCTCTGAACTACTGTTGAGATCCTCCCTGTTGCAATTTCCTAGGTGATTGCTCTTCTATTGGTCAACAACCTAGATATACTCCGAATAAGTGGAAATTCAGTTTCATTTGCTCCCGAGAACCACATTTCCTCGCCATACAAACATCACCCATGTTCGCCATCAATAAATATGTAAACAGTAAAAGATATATAAAATTTGCCAGGCACTTGATATTTTATTTATTTTAATAATAATGACACGTCTCAATATTGTAAAATAATTATCTACCTATACAATACCTAATAATAAGTTAGTATAAATGGTTTCCACCAAGTACAAAAATTTATCTTAATAGTCACTGCGATTAAAACTGGTTATACAAAATGTGTGAATCATTCGAACTTATCAACTAAAATTGCATAGAACTTTCAAACAAGACAGTTTCCATCTTTTGTTAGTAGATAGTAATAACATTCTTATTTTTATCCTTATTATACTTTATACACCATTCAATGTGTTATTCAATTAATGAAATTAGTTAAACTTAACAACTTTGGTAAACTGGAACATCATTGTGGTTACTAAAGAAAAGCATTGTGCAAAAGTGCAAAAATATTTACATCCATACATAATTTTTAACCCTCTATCCTTCAGGTACCAAAAGACTTGATAGAAGCCTGAAAATATATTTTATTTTCAAAAATAAATTAGTCTATGATACATTATACTATACATATTACATGTTTATTGTGTTGATACTTTTGATTTTTTTCGTAATTATCGATACATAAAATGTTAAAATGAAAAAGAGTTCTGATATGAGAATTGCAGAAAATATCCAAGATGACAATAATCGTTTGAGCCAACTCTATTTATTACAAACATGCAGATTTTATAACTTAAGTACTAGAATATTTTATCTCATTTAATCTCTTACGATCGATCTCACGTATTGAAGGAAATTTTTTTGTTAATCAAACAATCTAGTGAAAGTTGCTGTATGAATTTTTAAAAATTAGATTTTCCATGTACCCTAAACCTGTAGAGACATGTATAATTGGGATTACCCCAATTTGATAAAACTCTCAACTCAATAATTTCAAAAATATGTCCCACATTTTGCACTGGGAAAAATTGCAACGATTCTTTGTGATCTTCATAAACATATTCTCCCAGTTTCAATGGTTCCTTATCATCTTGATCTGTCAGTCCATATACTTCAAATTGTTTTGGGGCTGAATCGATCTCACCATTTGGAACTAATAATTTACTTATATGCTCCAGAGAAAAAGCCTCAACTTTTATACGTTTTGATAACCTTATGACTGCAAAACCGGGAAAATTTTGAAATGCCCAACATTCGCCTGGATTTATACTAGGTGTGATAATTGTTCTTGGAGAATTCACAGGATACCATAAAGGAACACCCAAAACTGATACAACTGCTTTTCCATAGTGATAATTTTCTGTACATCTAGTGGTCAGTATTTGTCCACCCATAGTTTCCATAGCATAATCCACAAGACCTGTTTTGTCTGCATCATATATTAATAAGGCATTTTTAACAATTCGTTTCACATGTTCTTCTGATATATTCGAAACACTACTGGTTTCTTTCTTTTGATGATCAGTTTTTGTTCGATCATTATTCATTTCTAATCTTATGTTTTCACTGATAGTATCTAATAATCCCATACTATTATCTTCAATTGAACTGGAGAATGTTGAATTAAAGTTTGAAGTTAGGTTAATAAGCTGACTGTCTAGATCTTTTTTCGCTGTACAAATAGTATGCAAATAATGATTGAGGCCTTTCTGGTTTTCAATAAAAGCTGCATCATTTAATAGATCAATTAAAGCTAGCTTGATGTAAGCTTTATAGTCACCAATTGGTTTTCTACAACATCTATTAAGATTATGATTTAAACGTTCGATATTTTTGATATTATCTGCTTTGAACTGAGATACAATTTCAGTGAGATCCTCTTTTCTGCTTTTCTCTATTTCTTGCATATCTTGTTTCAATTTATAAATTTCGTTTTGAAGATCATCAATGATTTTTTGCTGACTTGTTAGCAAGTTTTTACGAGCAAGACTTTCTTTTAGCATTTCGTCGACGTTATATTTTTCATTCAGAGACTGATATATCATTTCAAATTGTTTGTCAGTCAATTCGGAATTCAACTCAGCAGCAGAAGAAAAAGCCATATGGCCTTTTTGAAGTATCCCAACTTGGCTATCCACTAAGGGTTCATTTAATGCAATGTTGTCATCTCTTTGTGAAGGCACAGAGTTCCCAGGATAAAGAAGCATATTCTCAGGATAAAGCGACTTGATGGAGGTGGTGTTGGAATAGGCCTCTTGAAGAATTCGGCCAAGGTCCTTTAAAAGGCAACAACCTGAAAGTGATGCGGTAACCTTTCAATTGTATCTCTATACATGTGATATAAAATGAAAAGTATAAACCACAAGACATTAAAATTTTGATACACGGGATGTATGAAAATCAACTCTATTATATTCGTCCCGTCTTCCACTGCAAGACAATCAGTTGAAACCAAGCCAAAAAAAAAATAATTCGCGATCCAACACGATACAGCGCTGTTTCTAATCGCGACAGTGGTGCATTGTTGGATTCAACTGTCCTCAACCTTCCATTTCATTACTTTCCCATTTATTAATTTTATAAGTAAGCAGAAAAATCAATCTATACCCATCAACAACAATATACCCATCAACATTCACGATGAAAATGATAAACAGATGACTGCCTCGGAAATGGCTGAGCAGTTTAACATCAATTTCACTAGAGAACCATTTTCAGTAAATCATCATTGATCTGGATTATTCAAAGTTGAATATGCCAGTGTCAAAAAAGTCGTTTTTCCTAAAGCCAGTTACACCTGTAGATGTTAAAATATTGATTGGTAATTTGAAATTTTCCAACTCAAGTGGATTTGGTGAAATATCAAATAAGCTACTAAAAAATCGTATGCAGGTTTATGTGAACCATTGGCTTTTCTCATCAATCTTTGTTATTCTGAAGGAATTTTCCCAGAATGTTTGAAGTTGACTGTCGTTCTGCCATTATACAAAAAAGGTGATTCTGATGACTTTTCCAATTATAGAGCCATCAGTTTATTGTCAAGACTCTCTAAACTCATTGAAATGGACATCACTAATCAACTCTCATCATTCCTGTGGAGTCAGAGACTGTTATTCAGAAATCAACATGGATTCTGTAAAAATATGAGCACAGAATCTGATCTGTGTGATTTTCAAAAATGTCTTGCAGACAATCTTGACTTTTCAAGAGCTTTCGATTTAGTCAATCATACGCTTCTATTAAGTTAGAATCGTATGGAGTTAGGCCAGTTAGGGGGATGCTGCTAAAATTATTTAAATCATATTTGAATGGCAGAAGTCAGGTTGTTAGACTGAATGAAGTTCTGAGTAGTTACCGTGAAGGTGTACCTCAAGGATCTGTATTGGGACCTCCTGTTGCAATTTCCTAGGTGATTGCTCTTCTATTGGTCAACAACCCAGATATACTCCGAATAAGTGGAAATTCAGTTTCATTTGCTCCCGAGAACCACATTTCCTCGCCATACAAACATCACCCATGTTCGCCATCAATAAATATGTAAACAGTAAAAGATATATAAAATTTGCCAGGCACTTGATATTTTATTTATTTTAATAATAATGACACGTCTCAATATTGTAAAATAATTATCTACCTATACAATACCTAATAATAAGTTAGTATAAATGGTTTCCACCAAGTACAAAAATTTATCTTAATAGTCACTGCGATTAAAACTGGTTATACAAAATGTGTGAATCATTCGAACTTATCAACTAAAATTGCATAGAACTTTCAAACAAGACAGTTTCCATCTTTTGTTAGTAGATAGTAATAACATTCTTATTTTTATCCTTATTATACTTTATACACCATTCAATGTGTTATTCAATTAATGAAATTAGTTAAACTTAACAACTTTGGTAAACTGGAACATCATTGTGGTTACTAAAGAAAAGCATTGTGCAAAAGTGCAAAAATATTTACATCCATACATAATTTTTAACCCTCTATCCTTCAGGTACCAAAAGACTTGATAGAAGCCTGAAAATATATTTTATTTTCAAAAATAAATTAGTCTTGATTGTCAAACGGGTTTCGTGCTGTCTTTCTCTGCAGCTATCACTACGTATTTCTCATACTGCAGCCACACCCATTTCAACAATTTTGTGCCCTCTACTAGTTTGTATAGGTCCCTTGCTGGATGCAAACCATATCATATTAAGCACATAAAGGTATTGATTGTGGTGGAACAGAGTCAATAGAGTAGGTATTGGGTTACAAATTTCCTCTTAAAAAAATACAAAGGAAGATACCAATATGTACAGAAATTTTAAACCCGTGATAATGTGCAAGTGAATGCTGACCAGTGGTTTGATAATAAATTGGTCACGTTTCCTCGAACATTGTCACTCAAAAATGTCATTTGACATTTTGTTTTCATGAAACTTGGGTAAATGAATTTTAAACTGAGTTTTTCAATATATATATATATATGTTTATGAAATAGGATTGCATTTCTGCAGAATTGTTCATATCCATGGTGGTACTACAATACTGGTAAAAAGTGATCTAGTTGTTCTTGATAGAAATGATCTATGCAAATTATCACGTCAACTTACCTGTGAAATCTCGGCAATTGAAATAATTGGTAAAAATATCATTATTGCTACTATTTATCGATCTCCCAATGTACAACTTTAAGGGTTTCTCGATATTTCCAGTAAACTACTATTGAAATATGAAAAGTAAACAGTGACTTCAATATAAAAATTCAATAAAGAAGACAAAATTCCTCATGAGTACATAGATCTTCAACTGATGAATAATCTAAACAACACTGTTTCTGAAAATACAACACACAAAAGTTGTTTAGACATCTTAGCGAAAGACATTAATATTCGAGACACATCTCTCTGACCACAGAGCTTTTATTTTTAGTTGTGAATTATCAAAACAGAATAGTATAAAGGAACAAAATATCTGTCGTCTAACTACAGCAGAAGGTCTGGATTTTTTTTAATGTAATCGAGAACACAAACTGGAGTTTTTTGTATAACAGTTACTTCTGTACTGTATAATACTGAACCCACTACTTATTCTCATAAAAACCAGAAATTATGAAAACTACTACGGTCCAATATTTTTCAACAAAACTCTACTAAAAGATTCCTGCAAATAATAAAAGAACTGCTAATCAAAAAAGCGTATTATAGCATTGGATAATTACTTTATTTTCGGGGATGAACTTTTCAGTTTGCCCTTCACTACCTTTCAATAGATTCTTAATTGATTTAGCTTTGTTTATTTTTCAGATTGTAGAAGTTTATATACCCAAAAAAACAGTAACAGATTTTTTCATATCATAAATGTTGTAGCACACCACACAACTATTGAGTAAAATCATAAATGAAACACCAAAAAATGTTTAGTAATAATATAGTTTATTCGTCTGTAATACATATAAAACTATAATAATAATGTATTAGAAAGACATTTTTTGTGGCGGAGTCAATGTTTTTCACTGTTTTTTTGGTTATAACCATCCACAATCTGAAAAATAAACTAAGGTAAATAGTAGAAGAATCAATAAGAAAATAAATATTTCGATATGAAATCTGGAAATATTTATCTCTCTCAACTACCCACACAGTAGGTTCTGGTAAATGCCTGCCGGAAAACAACTACTTCCCCGGTTAATACCACCCTGGCTGTTGAATAACCATTGTGAGGTATCTTGCGTAGATGTCTCTCAGATATAATTCAACATACAGCGTGGTATTAGCCGGGGAAGTAGTTGTTTTCCGGCATTTACCAGAACCTACTGTGTGAGTAGTTCGGGGAGATGAATATTTCGACATTTCAATTCGAAATATTCACTTTCTTATACGTATGTATCTCTCCTCGTTACAGTCTTCAGAAATAATGGAGAATCTGCTAATGTGTAATAAAAACTACTGAAGAGTTCAATTGGTCAGTAATTTGTCGTATTCATAAATTTTGCCTACAAATTTAATAATCAATGAAAAAAATTGAATTTCTATACGTAGTTTTTTAGACGGTTGATGTTTCGGAAAATAATTCCAGATTGAGGAAAGTTATGCACCCAAAAATCAGTAAGAAACGTTGAGTTGATGCAATATTTTCAAATAGCCAAGTATTTGTTTGCTTATTTGGAAGATAAAGTCTAAAAAATGTTCAGAGAAGAAAAACTGCACAAATGTTTCAATAATCCACTCTTTACATTTTCCCTAAATGAAACAGAAATATTTTAGTTTTTTGGGTCGTATATGTGAATATTTATATTTTTCTTGGGCTATCCATTACATTTTTAGAGTTTCGTTTCATTTCTTGTGTTTGTGTTTCTGTGAAATTGTATTCCTGTTTTTTGAAATTTTTTTTTGATATCCATTTTTCACTTTCAGTAACTAGTTACTAGGGGGTATTTATGTTTCTGATATACTATTTCCGAACATAATTTGAATGAGTTCTAATATTTACAACTCAGATTTTGCTGTCCACTCCTTCCTAATACTTTTCAATTTATTGATTTTCAGGCATTTCAAAAGATTGAGTTTCTGAGTTTCAAAACGTTCTCTTTCATATGTAACACGTCACAGTCATGGTTGAACTCATACCCCTCTGCCAAAATATGATTTGCAAGATTGCAGGTGTGAAACTGGTCTTCACATTCAAAAAAATATTCCTATGGTTTTTCATTCTTTGGAAAAAGATTCTCCTCGTTTGGCCAATATAGGGTTTTGGGATTAATAAATTTAATCAAATTCATCAAAAATAGTAAAGACGAAACTTCAGTATATTAGGAATATACAGTGCATTTCTTTAATGTCCCCCTCCCCTTTTATTTTTTGAAGGGGTCAACTCAAAAAATTTAAATTTGGGATAATGAAATTAATGCAATAACAGATGAAACTTTCGATCACCAAGTGATCATCTTCAAGAGAAAGATAAAACTAAAAACTACACAGAACTAAAGCTACTTATACTAATCAGGTACATCATACAGGTAGGTAATCAGTAATACCACCCATACAAGTGTACAAGTGAAAATACTTTGACTTTTCTTTAGTTTCCATTTCGAATCTGCTCATGAACAGGTCTGCCAGGTAGGGGGACAAGGGATTTCCCATGGCCGTTCCTTCCTGTTGTTCATAAAAGCAACCTTCTACCTGGAAACGATTTTGTTTCATACACAAATTGGTAAGAGAAACGATTCATCGATTTCGTTGTTATTGAAATTATTTTTCCCTAGTAGTTCCCTGAGGTATTGCAAGGTCTGTGGAATTGGGACGC